GAACCCCACCGGGATGGCGGCAGCCGGCCCGGCCCCCGCTGCTCTGCCGGCCCAGAACCTGCAGGTACAGACGGTGACACCGCAGCTGCTGCTCAATGCCCAGGGCCAGGTCATCGCCACGCTGGCCGGCAGCACCATCCAGGCGGCCTCCGTCAAGAAAACCGGCACCCCCGAGCCCCCCATCAAGAATGAGGTGAGCCACGGGCACGGGGCTGACGGCCACGTGGCCAAAGGGCTGGCAGTGTCCCCAGCTGTGTGGCACTGGGAGCACGTGGGCGCCACAATGCTTTGGGAGGATGTGAGCGTCTTTGGGATCCATCTGCGTGGCTTTGGGAGCACATGGACATCTTTGGGATGTGGCCACGTTGCCTTGAGGGCACGTGAGCATCTTTGGGATGTGGCCACGTTGCTTTGGGAGCACGTGAGCATCTCTGGGGCCCGGCTGTGTTGCCGTGGGACCCCAGCCATGTTGCTTTGGGAGCTGTGAGTATGTTTGGGATGTGGCCACGTTCCTTTGGCAGCGCATGAGCAACACTGGGACCCGGCCACGTTGCTTTGGGAACCCCTGAGCATCTTTAGGATGTGGCCATGTTCCGTTTGGAGCACGTGAGCATCTTTTGGGCCCAGACACATGGATTTGGGACCCAGCCATGTAGGTCTGGGAGGATGTGAGCATCTTTGGGACCTGGCCTTGTGGCTTTGAGGCATGGCCACGTTGCTTTGGGATGTGGCCACGTGGCTCTAGAAGCACGTGAGCATCTTCGGGACGTGGCTGCGTTGCTTTGGGACCCAGTCACATTGCTTCGGGAAGATGTATCTCTGGTCACACTGCCCTGGGAGCACGTGAGCATCTTTGTGACCTGGCCACGTGGCTTTGGGACCCGGGCACGTTGCTCTGGGAGCACGTGACCATCTTTGGGACCCAACCATGTTGCTCTGGGACCCAGACACATTGCTCGGGGAGCATGTGATGGTCTTTGGGACCATCCACATGGCTTTGGGAGGATGTGAGCATCTCTGGGACCTGGCTGCGTGGCTTTGAGAGCACATGAGCATCTTCTGGATGAGGCTGTGTTCCTTTTGGAGCACGTGAGCATCTTTGGGACCCAGCCTTGTGGCTTTGGGACCCATCCATGGGGCTTTGAGACCTCTCCACGTTGCTATGGAAGCACAGGAGCATCTTTAGGACGTGGCCACGTTGCTCTGGGAGCCCGTGAGCACCTTTGGGACACATCCCCTCCTGCCCGCAGCGCTGCCCCATGGGACATCCCGCTCCTCGTGCCCACCGAATTTCCCAGCGGGGGTGGGACGTGACCGTGGCGTGAGCAGAGGTGCTGGTCGCCTCCAAACCTGCGTGGTAGGACACCTCAGACCCGGTACAGGCCTGTCCCAGCCCCATTCCCAGCACGGTACTGGGTGGTTTCCAGTGCCACTTCTCCATCCCAGCCCCTCTCACCTCCACCGTCAGCAAAGTGACGCCGTGGCCACTCTCCTGCCTCTGCAGGGAGGGGCGGTGGGCAGGGAGCAGCCCACCCATGGCACTGGAAGAGGGGGAGCCCCCGCTCTGGAGGTGCTGACCCTCCCCTCTGCCCCAGGTCCAGCCCATCCAGCCGGCCCCCGCTCTCTCCCAGCCGGCCGTGGTGATGGCAAACCCTGCCCCGGCAGCGAAGGCTTCCTCCGTGCCCGTCCCCATCACCTGCTCGGAGACCCCCACCGTCAGCCAGCTGGTCTCCAGTGAGTCACAGCGGGGATACTGGGGGGGTGCCAGGGACTGGGATCCCCTGCAAAGAGGGATACCAGGGTCTGGGATCCCCTGGATGGAGAAAGGATACTGGGGGGATACCAGGGTCTGGGATCCCTGAGGTGGAGAGAGGATGCTGGGGATACTGGGGGGATGTCGAGGACTGGGATCCCCTGCAAAGAGCGATACCAGGGGCTGGAATCCCCTGGGATGGAGAGAGGATACTGGGGGGATACCAGGGTCTGGGATCCCTGGGATGGAGAGAGGACACTGCGGGGATACCAGGGTCTGGGATCCCTGGGATGGAGAGAGGATACTGGGGGGATACCAGGGTCTGGGATCCCTGGGATGGAGAGAGGATACTGGGGGGATACTGGGGTCTGGGATCCCCTGGGATAGGGAGAGGACGCTGGGGATACTGGGGAGGATACTGGTGGGATGCTGGGTTCTGGGATCCCCTGGGATGGAGGGTGGATGCTCCGCACCCCCACTCGCTGCATCCTTGGGGATGACTTTGGTAGGGATCCTAACGAAGGGGGTGCTCGTTATGGCGGTGGGGGGGAGGTGGGGAGGCAGCTCCGTGACCATTTCACGGCAGCCCCCACATCCCTCTGCCAGCAGAGCCCCCGGCTCCCAACAGCAGTGCGGAGGAGGACGGGATCAACCTGGAGGAGATCCGGGAGTTCGCCAAGAACTTCAAGATCCGGCGCCTGTCGCTGGGCCTGACGCAGACGCAGGTGGGGCAGGCCCTGACGGCCACCGAGGGACCGGCCTACAGCCAGTCGGCCATCTGCAGGTACCCGCGCCCCGGGGGTCCCGGCCCGGGAGATGGGGAGTGGGAGAAAGGGAGGGAAATCAGAGAATGGGAGGGAAGCTGGAGAAAGGAAAATCGGAGAAAGGAAGGAAATAGAGAAAGGGAAGGAAGTTGGAGAAAAGAGGGAAAAACAGGGAAGTTGGAGAAAAAGGGAAAATGGAGAGAAAGGAGGGAAAACAGAAAAGGAGGGGAAATGGGTAAAAGGAGGGAAGTTGGAGGAAAAAGGAAAATTGAGGGGGAAAATGGGAAAATCAGAAAAAGGGAGGAAAAAATAGAGAAAATATGGGAATTTGGAAAAAAAGGAGGAAAATTGGAGGAAGGGAGAAGAATTTGAGGAGGGGAAGGAAATTGGAGAGGAGGGAGGGAGATGGTAGGAGATGAGGGAAATGGGAGGAAAGAAGGAAAATTGGTGGGAGGGAAGTTGGAGAAAGGGAGGAGAAGTAGAGAAAGGGAGGGAAGTTGGAGAAAAGGGGGAAAATTGGAGAAAAGGGGGAAAATTAGGGAAGGGGAGGAAAGAGAAGTTGGAGAGAAAGGAAAAATGAGGGAAAAGAAAAATGGAGAGAAAGGAAAAATGGAGAGAAGAGCGAAAGCAGAACAGGAAGTGGGAAAAGGGAAAATCGGGGAAAGGGAGGAGAATCTGAGCAAAGGAGGAAAAAGAGAGAAAAGAGGAAATTGGAGAAAAGGGAAAGGCAGCAAATCGGGTGAAGAGGAAGGAAGAAAGAAGGAGAAAAGGAGGGTGGGTGGGTGGCAGACCCCCAGCTCCCCAGCGCCGTGGTCTCACCCGCTGAAGGCGGCCGTGCCCCCGGCCCCATGGCAGCCTGTGCCCCAC